TGAGTACTCTAGAGTCAGTGGTGAGCCTCTTTGCATTCCGGAGGACTCTGTTATTTTTGTGTTACTAGTTTTATTTTGTTAGGATGTTGCGGGGTCTGTCCCAACGTCCATCTCAGTATTGTAGAGGCTTCATAGACAGCCAGTCAGTTAGTATTGAGTCCCTCATCTATGTATATATGTAAATATTCTATTTTGAGACTCGAGTTACCCTTTTGGGCCAGATTTTATCAGTTAAGTTGTTTTATGTCTTTGTATGGCATTGAGTTATTCTGTTGAGTCAGGTTTCCGCTGAGTTAAGAAAGCCAGGCCAAGGGTTCGCTTGGGGCCAGCAATGGTCTTCGGGTGCCGGTCCCGCCCAGGGTGTAGGCTCGGGGCATGACAAACTTGGTATCAGAGCACAGCGTTCAAGAGTCCTAGGGAGTCTATGAAGCCGTGTCTGTAGAGTCCTAATTATCGATGAGAAACGCGCCACATCTATAATTGGGAGGTTGCAACATTTAGGAAGATTTCTCACTTCTTTCACACTCATCTCGTGCGTTAGAGTTGATCTCTAAAAAGTTTCGTTCTAATCCGTGCTTGCGTGTGTTTCAGATAGTCATGCCTCCACGAAGAGTTAGTAGAGGGCGTCTTCCTAGACGTTATGTGGATGAGCAAGAGTTACCTTATACCCCGGGAGTGCAAGATCAAGGGAAATTTCTAATGTCGAGTTCAGAGAGGCAATTAGAATTCTGAGTCAAGCCGTAACTAATCAGATTGATCAACAAAGTGGAGCTCGACATGAATGAGCTAACACTTCACGGATTCGTGAGTTCTTGGGGATGAATCCTCCGAGTTTCATGGGTTCAAGCACTACTGAGGATCCAGAGAACTTCATTGAGGAGTTGAAGAAGATTTTTGATGTGATACATGTAGCAGATATCAAGCGGGTTGAACTAGCTGCGTATCAGCTGAAAGATGTTGCTAGAACTTGGTTCGACCAATGAAAAGGGGGTAGAGTTGAGAATGCACCACTTGCGGTTGGGCTTGTTTTGAGGAAACTTTCTTGGGGCATTTCTTTCCTCGAGAATTGATAGAGGCCAAGGTACGTGAGTTCCTCACACTTCAGCAGGAGTCTTTGAGTGTTCACGAGTACAGTTTGAAGTTCACACAACTATTCCGCTATGCTCCAGAGATGGTTGCGGATATGAGGAATAGAATGAGTTTGTTTGTTGCTGGGCTGTCTCGGTTGTCAAGTAAGAAAGGTAAGGCTGCAATGCTTATTGGGGACATGGACATATCTAGATTGATGGTCTATGTGCAATAGGTTGAGGAAGAGAAGCTGTGGGACAGAGAAGAGTTCAGAAATAAGAGAGCTAAGACCGGTAATGAGTCCGGGCAACAGAAAGGTAATGCGAACCGTTCATCCTTTCAGCAAAGGTAAAGGGGACCTGCTCCATCATCTGTTAGTGCACCTGCACCCAGAAATAAAAGTGAGTACGCGGGACAGAGTTCGTAGAACTTCAGAGCTGGACCTGCACAGTCTCAGAATAGTAGAGCACAAGGAAGTAACCGGGGTCTTGCATGTGCTAGGTATGGTAGAGTCCATCCAGGGAAGTGTCGTCAAGGCCAGACATGTTGCTTTAAATGTGGGCAAGAGGGTCACTTTATGAAGGAGTGCCCAAGGAACAATCAAGGTAGTGGAAATCTGGGCAGTAAGGCCCAATCTTCATAAGTTGCTCCCCCAGACAGGACGGCACCTAGAGAAGCTACTTCTAGTACAGGTGGAGGAGCAAATCGCCTCTGTGCCATCACCAGTCGCCATGAGCAAGAGAACTTCCAAATGTTGTCACTGGTATGATCAAAGTTTTCGCTTTTGATGTGTATGCTTTGTTAGATCCAGGAGCAAGTTTATCTTTTGTAACTCCTTATGTTGCAAATAAGTTTGAGGTTCTTCCTGAAAGACTTTGTGAACCCTTTTGTGTTTCTACACCTGTTGGGGAGTCTATTCTAGTAGAAAGAGTTTATCGTGATTGTCCTGTTTCCATCAATCACAAGAGCACCATGGCTGATTTGTTTGAGTTAGACATGGTAGATTTTGATGTCATTCTAGGTATGGATTGGCTTCATGCCTGTTATGCATCATTAGACTGTAGAACTCGGGTGGTCAAGTTTCAGTTTCCGAATGAGCCAGTCTTAGAGTGGAGTAGTAGTTCAGCAGTGCCTAAGGGTCATTTTATTTCGTACCTTAAGGCGAGAAAGTTAGTTTCAAAGGGTTGTATCTATCACTTAGTTAGAGTTCATGACTCTGGTGTTAAAATACCTCATTTTCAGTCAGTTCCTATAGTAAGAGAGTTTCCAGAAGTTTTTCCTGATGATCTACCCGGAATTCCTCCTGAGAGAGAAATAGATTTCGGCATAGATCTCCTTCCAGATACTCGTCTTATCTCTATTCCGCCTTATAGAATGGCACCAACAGAGTTGAAAGAGCAGTTGAAAGATCTTCTAGA